GCAGCCTCGCATTCCCGGACAGGCCCCACCCTCGGACTCGCTCGCCCGCCCCCCGCTGCATAGCCCCGCCCCTCCCCGCGGCCGGCCCGCCCGCAGCTCGCCATTCCCGGGCAGGCCCCGCCCCCGTTTCCGCTGGCGGTGGCTGTGGTGGTGGCGGCGAGGGAGCGCGAGGGAGCCGGGATCCAGCATTCCTGGGAGCTCGGTGAGTGCGGCCCCGGGCGGGCGGGTGGCGGGCGAGGGAGCGGGCCGGGCGAGCTTGCGGGATCCGGGCCGGCTTTGGGTGAGCTAGGCGAGCCCTTCACCAGGTCTCCAGAGAGGGGAGCGCCTCAGGGGCGCCCCGAGAAGGGGGTGTCGGGAGGGCGGCTGTGGGGCGGAATGAGGGAGGGATGGGGCAGGCTCTCTGCGAGGGCCAGGACGCGGCCCAGGAAGAGGAAGGTGTGTGGGGGGTCCCGGGATTGGGGCGAAGAGGGAGCTGCACGGAGAGGCTCGGAGGACCTTTTGGGAGTGGAGCGAGGGAGGGTGAACCGTGGGGTCCCTGGCGAAGGGATGGGCGGTCGGAAGGGTGCAGAAGAAAGGGAGAGCCTGGGAGCTGTCATGGGTTTCTGACAGTGTGGCCCAGCAGACCCCAGTGGCTAGGGGGCTGTCCATACAGCGCCCCAGGGAGGGCTAGGGGTTCGGTCAGGACTGGGATACCGCCCGAGGCCCTCCCCTGCCCCCACCCCCACCCCTCCCCCCATTCCTTGGGTCACTGCTGGCTAATCGGCACTCAGAGTGACAGAGCTTTGCACACCTCGAGGTACAAGATGTAGTCCATCTGTGCCTCAGCTTTGGAACTTTAAGAAACTTTCTTGTGGTTAAATAAAAAAAAAAAGTCCAAAGAAGAAACTGGCTTGTTATGAGGGCAGTATTTGTACTTGTGTATCTCAAAACTGGAGTCTTGGTTCGCCTTTCTTTGCAAATGATACTGGTCTCTTCTCTACCTCTTCCCTGGATGCCTGCAGTGTCCGGGGAAATTTGAAGCATTGGGTAGTATGGGATCCCCTGGGCTGTGTGGACCTTTCCCCATCCCCAAAACGGGAATAAGAAGGCAGCCACTCACCTCCCTTTGGTTCAGAGAACCAAACTCATTATGTGAGAGTGCCCTTCTGACCTGCAACTGTCCTCTTCTCTGACTCAGGCATTTCCTCCTCCAGGAAGCTTTCCTGGACTAGTGGGGAAAACTGAGGACTCAGGCTCTGATCCCTGTGTACCAGCCCGCTTTCCTCTCTCTACTAAAAATAGTTATCGGGAATGTTTTGTATGTAGTTCTGCTATAAAGATGTACAGTCAGCTTATCATCATAAGTAATGGAGGGGAGGAGAGGTATTATGGACAATTTCAAACAATGGACTGTACAAATCATTTATATTTAGCTAAGGAATGCAGCCAGGGAGGCAGACATTTACACCAGCTTCCTACCCTCTGCCTGGTTCTGGCATGGCTGTTGCAGCTGGGTGGTGGGTCGGGGGTGAGGAATGGAAGCGGATAGGGGTGGATAAAACTTGAAGGGTAATTCTGTTCTGCACTCATTCATGGAAGACCTGCTGTGTGCAAGGCTCTGGACAGCGGAGAGTGGGCTACAAGGAAGTGGGATTATTTTTTTATTTGAATTAATCAGATATTAATCTTTTAAAATCTAGGAACTGATATTTAATATTAATAACAATAACTAGTGTTTATAAAATAATATATAGTTGGCCAAGTGCTTTCTCTGCACATTAGGTGTATATAACTTTATTTGATTCACAAATAACCTTTTAAAGTATATGTTATTTTTAATTGCCTTCTTATAGGTTGGGAAAATGAGGCTCAGAGAGAATAAATTACTTCTTTGAGGTCACAGAAATCATTAAGTGGAAGAAACAGAACTTGAACCTGTGGCCTCTGACCCATCATGCCTTGTGCTTTCCTATTGTGCTGTGCTGCCATCTGCCATTTTTCTCTGTTGAGCTGGAGGATCTTAGCCTCAACACCGCCTATGTGTGCAGCTCTGGGCACATTACCTCCTCTTTCCAAATTTCTGTTTTGGAGGGTTATTGGGGTAAAATCTTTCTAGAGTCTCTGCCGGCACCAGATAATTAGCAGTATAAGATCATATTGGCAGCCAATCAGACAATTAATAAGTGGGAAAAAAATTTAATTGTGGTAAAAAACACAAAATTTATCATCTTAAACATTTTAAAATGTCCAGTTCAATTGCATTAAGTATATTCATTGTGCATCAGATCTCCAGAACTTTCTCATCTGCATAACTGAAACTGTATACCCATTAAACAGTAACTTTTCATTTCTCCCTCCCCCAGCCCTTGGCAACCTCCATCCTACTTACTGTGCTTTATTCAGCTCCTACTATGTGCTTAATAAATGTTGCCTTTGAGGAATTAAGGAGAAGCAGCTCAGCTTAAGTGGGAAGCCCCTGGGCCAGGGGTAGCCGACCAGTCGACCAGTCACTGGTCGTCATCCCTGAGTCTACCTCCAGCACTGGAGTATTGTTAAGTGAATGAGTGAGTTGGTGAGGCCTTGGGCAAGTGCCTTCATCTCTCATAGCTTTAGTTTCCTGCTTGCAAAGTAAGGATAACAATAGCAGTCTTTCAGGCCTTGGGAGGAGCAATGAGGTAATGTATGTGGAGCATGAAGCTTCGGGCCTTCTACATAGCAGGTGTGCAGAAGATGGTGGCTGTTATTTATACTCTAACTGAGGAGACTAGACTAATATGCTTGGAACAAGACTTCTTTTTTTCTACTATTAAGGCCCAGGCCTGCTGTGGTTGTCGTCCCCAGTGACTGAGGGAATGGATCTAATCCAAGTGCCATAGCCTGGCATTGACATCCTTTTTCTCCATTCCAGGCTTGCCTGTGTAGCCTTATCTCCCACTGGTCTCCCTCCAGGAACCCTCAGTTCTAGCCAGATGGATCTCCCAAGCATGCTTGGCTCATTCCTTCTTCGTCTTTTAGTTCATACTGTCCCCTCTTCCTGGAATGCTCTTCCCCAGTCCTCCTTTCCCTCTTTCAAGACCCTACTCATGTCTGAGCTCTTTCATGGAACCTTCCCTGGCCACCTATCCTAAAAGTTTCTTTGGAGCTCCTATGACATTTTTTGTCTTCATCTCTCCTGGCTTTTATATATTACACGGGATGATTCTTCAGTGAATTTGATGAATACTTAGTATGTATGTGTCATAGTACAAGAGCCTGTGCTAAGTTCTGGTGATGCAAAAAGTAAAAAAGTAAAGGTCCTTGTATTCATGTGGCTTATAGTGCAGTAAAGGGTTAAGAAAGGGGTTCAACAGTGACAATTCAAACTATAAGGTGAGTGGCTGTGAGAGGAGAATGTGGGTTCAAACAGCAGGATAAATCACCCTGATTCTGGAGGAATGCTTCATGTAGCAGGTGGTATCTGACATAAACTTTGAAGGGTGGCTTGCATTTTAACAGAAGGGAGGAGGAACCAACCTGAGGAAAGGCACTAAGTAAGTGTTGGGGTGTGTGAATAGCATAGGTGGGCCAGTGAGTGGGTTATATGAAGGGAAGCAGGGAAATAAAAGGCTTGATAGGGAGATAATGGCTATATTGTAGGCAGCTTCAAATGTCCAGCCAAAGAATTTCATCTATCCATTCATTCAAGAGAAGGTGAATGCCCACCATGTGTACTCCTTAGGAGGCCCTGGGAACTTGGCAGGGTTTTGAATAGGGGTTACAGAAGCAGAGCTAGGCCTCCGGTGCGTGAGTCTGGGGTCTGTTAAGAGGGGAAATCATGGTGGGGAGAGTGGCTGGATAGCTGTGAGGAATGGAGAGAAAGGACTGAACCTGAGACATTTTGGAAGAAGGATTGAGACAGTTTGTGAATTGGTTGGCTGGGGTGGTGAGGAAAGGATGAAGGGGGATTGAAATGGATTCTGAGCATCATTGGGAAGATGCAGTGCCACTTGCTGTTCTAGTGAGTATCATAGTTTCTCTAATTCAGTGGTTCTCAACCTTCCTAATGCCGCGACCCTTTAATACAGTTCCTCATGTTGTGGTGACCCCCCAATTTCATTGTTACAAATTGAACATATTAAAGCATAGTGATTAATCACAAAACAATATGTAATTATATATGTGTTTTCCGATGGTCTTAGGCGACCCCTGTGAAAGGGTCATTCGACCCACAAAGGGGTCGCGACCCACAGGTTGAGAACCGCTGCTCTAATTAGATTGTAAGCTCCTTCAGGCTTAGATTCTAATCACCTCTATGTTCTCCTTGGCCCAGTACCCACTGCTGAGAGACATAGAGTAGGCACAGTGTGGACCCCTGACATTTCCAGAAATTAGTCTTGTCATGGGAATGTAATGTATGCATGGTGACTATCCTATCCTATATAATAAAAGCCTAATATCGCAAATCAACCGAATGGCAGAATGACCAATGGAACAACCAATCACTATGATGCATACTGACCACCAGGCAGATGCTTAACACAGGAGCTGCCCCCCAGCCTGCAGGCCCCAGGCCAGCCAAGGCAGGTCCCAGCGGGGGCACCCCCCCATCGCCCCACTGGTTGCCCCACAGAGAGAGGCGACCTGCGGCAGTGGCAGTGGTGGTGGTGGGGGGTGGGGCCAGCTGGTGAGCGGGTGGCAGCGGGGAAGGGGGGAGAGGGGGGGCGGGGACCAGCAGTGGCAGAGGCAGGGTGATGGGGGGGGCCCACTTGGGCGGGGCCGGCATGCAGGGGCTCCAGGCTGGCGAAGGCGGGTGTCAGCGTGGCCTAGGGACCCTACCCATGAATGAATTTTGTGCACCGGGCATCTAGTAGTTAATATACTGTACTGTATATTTGAAAGTTGGAAAAGTGAATAGATCTTAAAAAGTTTTCATCACAGGAAAATTGTAACTATGTATTGTTGTTGTGGGATGATGGCTAGACCTTTGCGTTTGGCCCTTTTTAATATGCTACAAATATCAAATAA